TTGATCCCTTTTTGTTCCTGCGCTTTGCACTTCGTGGCTGCAGCATTGCTGATGCGCCCCCCCACCCAAAAAAGTGTTCCCATTATGGAGGGGGGGAGGGTTGGCCAGGGAAGTCTCTGCCTCAGGCAAGCAGGCTGGTTGGCAAGGCAGGGGTGGCGGCAGCGGCTATGGAAATATCAGATCTTGACAAGTTCCTTTCAAAACAAAATTAGTTACAGTAAATCATTTCAAGGCCAAGAAAATGGTTACTTGTTTAACATGGTTATTGTTACAGTTGCAGTTCTCGGGAAGTAACACTTTGCTTCTTTGTTTATGAAAAAACAAAATCCACCAAACCGGAGGGTCACTCCCTGCCCCCTTCCCACCCACCCCCCACCCCTGAAAGACAACACAAGTGGACTGGACCTGACAGCAGGAAGAGACGCTCTCGGTTGGCAGTGACCCCAGGCTGGCAGTGAAACTGGATGGTAATTGAATGGTTTACAAGCAATGTTAGGACATCACTTTACTTTGCCATAATTGAACCTGGCTTGTTGCTTGAAGTCATAGAAAACGGTGAGTCATTTATGCTTCCTGACAACAACAGCATCCACATCTAGCTAGTTCTTTTCCGTTCTTTTAAATTGGGAGTGCATGTGGGGTTAGTACTTCGATACAGCCTCCCGCTCTCTGGGCTTGGCTGCAGTCCTCATAGTACAGTAGTATTTGGGATTCCTGGGAGGCCAGAAAACAGACTTTCAGACTAATTAGGTATTGTTGTGAGCTGTCCCTCTTGCCATGCGGCGGACAGAGGTGTGTGTGTGTGTGGGGGGGAAGACTTTGCCTTAAATGTGCCATTGAGAGCCATCAGTTTTACAGAAGATTTGCCCGTTAAAGGTAATAACTGCTTTGTTGAACTGGCGACACTATAAATTTCCCTGGGGCTGAGAAATGAAACCCTTGGTTGTTTCCTTTGGCTCCTTTTCTCAAGCCAGCCCCGACTCTCCCGCCCGGGCCTCCCCAGGGCGTTGGCAGCTCCTGTTTTGCACCTGCCCAGCTGATGCACCCAAGGGGTGACTCTCTTCTTATGTCCTCCTGCCCTTTTAGTCTGTGCGATGTGTGAAGTGGATGCACACAGGTACACATTCAACTCGGCTGCTAGGGAGTCCTCTTGGAGGGGCTGTCCCACTGGGAGGGCCACTCTCCGGAAAAAAAGAAAGAAAGTCCTTTGCACAGTCCAGGAAAGCTCGGTTTTCTTTCATCCGTGCCAGGACAGACAGCCACCACTCTCTCTTAAGAGCGGCTTCCTTGTATTGTAAGGATCAAATGCAGGTGAAGCAAAGCACATGGATTCCAATATTGAAATAAATAAATTAATTTCCTCGTGACCTTGAATTTGGCGAAGGGGGTGCACAGGTCAACGTGAGGCCCATTTACTGCAAAGCTGGGTCACAAGTGCAGGAGAGACATACCCACATTCATCACACTTAGGTGTTCTCTAACCCCCAAAGCCCTCTTAAACCTAAGGATGATCATGGGCCTACCCTGCGAGGGCTGGAACGCTCCAGTTACCCTGTGGGAGGAAGAGGCGGCAACTGCCTTTGCCGTGGCCTTGATCTTGCTCAGCCCAGCGCGCCTGGCGCTCCCTCCTGAGGTCTTTGCACTTGTCAGATGGGACGTTTATCAACCAACATCAGAAAGAGAGGAAGCCTTGGAGAATATTCAGATTATTACAGCAGAACCTCCCGGGAACAACACCTGTCAGAGGCACAGAAGAATCTCATCCAGCCTATTTCAGAAAGTACGGCTGGGCATGACAGGAAATGGACAGATCAAACCTAGCACAAGGGCAAGCTGAAAAGGGTGGCGTCCAGGCAGGCTGGCCGGCCGGCCGGCCGCTGCGGTCAGAACCCAGAGTCTTGCTGAAATCTCTACAAAAGTGCCCTGTCAAGTCAATGCTGACCTCTGGCAACCCTTCCCGGGGTCTCCTAGGTAGAGAGAGTGCCCAGAACTGTTTTCGAGATGCCTGGGCCCTGTCCAGCTTGGCAGCAGGGGGGGCATGGTTGGAATCCAGGTAACATCTGCCCACCTGGCAAGGGTGACCTTTTCTCCTGTGAACAATAGCAATGCCATCACGGGGGGGGGGGCTTGGGTTCTGCCATCCCTGGGTGGTGCCCTCCAGCCCTTTTGGGATGTGGGATGGACACCTGCCATCTCTCCTTGGTTGCTTCCCAAAGAGACCAGTTTGAGGCAAACTGGGTTCCACTGATGAACAACACGTACCGGAAACCTGACCGTCCAAGGCTGCCTTGTGCTGGGCCTGTACACAGAGCGTCAGGCGCCACAAAGGCCATGCTTTGCCACGCCTTTCGGGCCTCTCCTGCAAGAGAGGTTCAGCACACCTCTAGGCTCCTCTCTGCTTTAGAAAAGAAACCAACAGCTCCCACCCTTTCCACAGTACACCTCAGCTTCTGGACCACCTTCAAGGGCAGCCCCACATGGAGAGCATTGCAACAGTTTATCCTTGAGATTACCAGCACGAGACCCAGAGTGTTTCGGGACTTCCCATCAAGATTGGGGTGAAGGTGTGCAATCTGCCTAAGTCGGGGAAAGGCAGACCTGGCCGCGGCAGAGATCTGATTCTCCATTGAGAAGGTCGGGTACAGAAGCACATCCAGATCGCTAACCTGAGCCTTCAGGGGGCATGTGACCTCCATCTCGACCAGGTGACACAGCCTCCTAGTTGATCAGAGTTCCACCCCTGGGGCCAGGCAGCACTCCAGGGTCCCCACGGCTGGCTTCCACTGCTGAGTTGGGAAGGAGAGGCCGAGCTGCGTGTCATCAGCATATGGACTCAACTGAATAGCCAGCATCCACAGGTGCAGCCCATTCTCCCTGGTCTGTATTAAAAGAGCCCTCAAAATGCTCTCTCTGGAAGCGGGCTTTCCTTGTGAAAGAAGTGCCACCACGGCAGCTCTAAACACCCCAGTGCCTTCTTTCTCAACCTGCCAGACGGTGGGGTTAGCCAAGGCTGCGTGAGTTTTTGCTGTAAAGCTCTCGCCTAGCGTCAGACTGCCGAGTGTGAAGAATCTGAAACCCTATGACCTTCACCCACTCGCCTGGCAGGAGATGTCTTTCTGCCTGGCTTCTGCTGGTCTCTCCTACCAGAAGGGGCAGCTCAAGGCCTGGAATAGGGGTGGAGGACACCCCACCCCAAAGTCTCAGGGAGAGACCACAAGCCAGCCTCCATCACCCCTACGGGCAGCTAGCTACTCAGTCCGGGAATCAGAAGCAGAGACTGGCAAGCTGGCACATCCCAAATTAGAGCCATAATTAGCAACGTTGGCACACAGAGGACAGAAGCTTAGATCTCTCGTTGCTGAGCCAGAGGCTGGGAGTTCAAATCCCCGCTCTGTGCCTCCTTGACAGGGGCTGGACTTGAGGATCCCTAGTGTCCCCTTTTCCACCTGTGCAGTTCAAAGGTTATTGCTGTTTAGCGCATTTCACCCACCCCATCCCTTCTAGGGTGTGTGTGGCCACAGGGGTGAGACACCACGGTGCCACTGCTGCTAGGGTTCCCTCTCCCTTCATGGTAGGGCTGGGAAGGGATGGGGGGGCGGTTTGGCCACCACAAGCTCTTTTCTTTCATCAAAAGCATAACCTCTCACTCTTTTTCCTTGGCTGGGAGGGAGGGCAGAATGCCATGGCTGAACAATACTGGTGTGTGTGTGTGGGGGGGAGCACTTTGCCTCTTGCTTCAGACAGTGAAGAACACCCCCACTACCTACGCACATGCACACACACAAATGAACAACACTGGAAAGTGTTGCCATTTATTTTCGCGATCGTCTCCAGTGGGCAGCCCCTAAATTCTGACACCTTGGATCAAAGCCCGGTTCTCTAGCAGTCGCCCCACTTGTCCCACTCCATAGCTGCCTCCCCCTCCGGCGTCCGTATGGCGTCTGTTCCGGAGAGTAGCCTGCTCTGGGTTCCATCCCACCAGGCCACCTGGGCGTCCGGGAGAGATTTCAAGGCTAAGCTAGGGACTCAGAAAGAAAAGGCCCGGAAGCAGCCGCCTTCTCTGCAGCCACACTCGGGGGTGGTGGTGGGGGTGGCCCATCCAGGAAGGCTCCCCGTGCCCCACCAAGAAGGTCCCGGGCCCGGCCTTCTCCCCCGTTGCTGCAAGGCGCAAGGGCTCAGGACGGCCCCAATCCGTAGCTTCAGCAATAGCGAGGCGCGCAAATAAAGAGGGAGAGTGGTGGATGATGGTGGATCTCCGGGGAAGGCTTTTGCTGAAACAGCCGCCCTCCTTTAAAAAGGGAAACCCCGCGTTTCAACCCGGCCCCAGAGTGGAAGCCCAGGGCACAGCTACCCACAGGTATGCTGCCTTTGGGACTGGAGGCTCTACGCAGCGGCCAGGACTCTTTTCTCCGGGAGAACCGCTTGCCTTCCCTCAGCCCGTTAAAGGGACCCGACCCGAGGCCGATCATTTCTTTCGGGGGCGCGCCCCTATCCGCCGGAGGGCTTCCGAGGACCGGCCCTGAATGTCCTCCCCGCGCGGCTCCAAGTTCGGGGAGGGCGGACAGCTTTCCCCGACCCGACCCGCGGCTGTTGCTCCCTCACTCCCTCCCTTCTTCGGCGCCCGCTTCGGCCCCCAAGGTTCGCCTCCCCAGGGACCGGCCAGGGCTCCGGCGGCGCTTGGGAAGGGTCGGGCGCTCCTCCACTCTGGGGAGTCTTGGGTACGGGGTGGGGGCTCGGGGAGGAGCCCTCCGCCGCACCAGACCAGAGCTCTATCGTGCCTCCACGGCCAGAGGCAGACTACCTGGCTGCTGCCCCGTTTCCCTCCCTTTAAGCGCCGAAGGGAGCAAAGGCGGTTTAGGGGATCGGACCCACCTTCCGCTCTGCTGAATGTGTGTGTGTGTCTGTGTGTGTGTGCGCGCGGTGGGGCGGGGGGGGAAGAGGCAACTGCAGAGGTAAAGGGGACCGCGCTCAGCCCCGCGTCCTGCCGGCGCCTGCCTTACCTTGCAAGCCGGGAAGGGTCTCTGGGCTGCGCAGCGCTCCTCCTTCGCCCTCCCGCCGGCCTCCTCCCGGGGGCGGGCAGGGCAGGCTCTTCGCCTCCACGCCTCCGTCCGGCGGGCGG